ATATATATATATGTTGCAAAAATCGGCCTAATCGGTTGATTAATCGCTAATCGGACCTCCACCGATGAGATTTATTGCTAATCAGTCATTATAATCGGGCTTGGTCGATGCAGGTAAAATTCAGAATTAATCGGACCTAATCGGACTTAATCAGACATAATCGGGTTTGGTCAATGTAGGTCAAAGTCGGACCTAATCATCGATTAATCGCTTCTTTTGGAGGATTAAAGTTAGATTTATAAATTTTTAATATATTTCTTAATAGTTAATGGTTCCCGATTAATCCCCGCCGAGCCGATTAATCCCTAATCGCTAGTCCACCGATTAATCGCTAGCCCAAACATACTGAAGAACTCGTCGAGTCCATAGAGGAACTCGGCGAGTTGAATCGTGTTGTCCCGATTTTGTACCAGATAGAACTTGACGAGTCAGGGGGATGACTCGGCGAGTTGGATCGTGATTTACAGGATTTTTGAGTTATAGAACTCGGCGAGTTGATAGGTCAACTCGGCAAGTTGAGCCAGCCAGAATGTTGATTTTGACCAAGGGTAAAATGGTCATTTTACCCTTAGAAGGATTGTCAGTTTTTGACTAAGTGATTATTGTGATAATGATAGTTGGGGAGTCGTTGGAGCAGCCATCAGAGATTCCTCACACGAGATTTCAGCAGCCAACTTGAGAGGTGAGTTTTCCTCCTAGGAACGGGTCTAAGGCACCAATGCCAGCCCGTTTATGTATTTTAGCGATGTCGGGGTTAGCCCGATGTAGTTTATATGTTTTCGGATTTTGGTATGATGTCGGGGTAAGCCCGAGGAATGTTTGTATGCTTGATGTCTTCATGATTCTTATATGTGTTTGTTTATGTGTTCCAGACTACGGCCCGATGTCGGGGCAAGCCCGAGGAATGTTTAGCTTATATGTTATGTGTTATATGTTCCGGGCTTCGGTCCGATGTCGAGGTAAGCCCGAGACTATTTATATGTTTATGTTATATGCTTGTCGATATGTTATATGTATACCGAACTTCGGTCCGATGCCGGGCAAGGCTCGATGTCGGACTTCGGTCCGATAATGGGCGGGGCCCGATGTAAAGGGAAAGGCCCAATGTATGTGATTATGTGATTATGTGTGGTATGTGGTAGTTTCGGGAGACTCACTAAGCTTCGTGCTTATAGTTTTTAGCTTTGGTTTTAGGTACTTCCGGTAGCAAGGGGAAGAGTTCGGGATGACTGCATGGCACACACCGTTCATGTTTAGCCTGGGATATTTTACTCTAATTTATTTGACATATGATTGATATGGATACACTGTTTTGACAGTTGAGATATTATGGTTCATGTTTTGATAAATGATTTTTAGTAATTCTGGTTTAATTAATGATTTAAAAATGAAATTTTTGGACCGTATTTTTGGGGATGTTTCAAGTTGGTATCAGAGCCTTGGTTTGAGGGATTCGGGGACACTCCCGGGTGTGTCCGGACTCAAACTAAGGGCTCGGTATTAAAAGTTTCAAAAGAAAATCATTTTTATAAAAAGAATTTTGAAAAGAAATTTAGAAAAGGGAAATGAACTTTGAAAAGGAAAAAGGGGGTGGTGCATGCAATCAGCCGAGCTCAAGTAAGTACTCTAAAATTACCCATACAAGTTTATGTTATGATATGATTATGAGAACAACATGCTAGATTAGGGCTAAGGATCTAGGAATGATGCCTTATATGCCTGTTATATGTGTATGAGAACGACATGCTAGTTTAGGGCTAAGGATCTAGGAAGGATGCCTTATATGTTTGTTGTATGAGTTTATTGAACTGTATGCTAGAACTGATTAGACAGTGATATGATGGCCTGATTGGGATACGCTCAGTTTTGTTTACTCAATGCTTTGCTTTGTGCTTTTAGGGTTCTAATTATCTTTAACTAACTAGTAAATGAATATGTTAAGTTACATATTACGAGGACTAAATAATTTCAGAAGGTTAGGTTTAGCTCTATTTCGCAGCTCTCGTTTGAGTCTAACCGTTGTAGGGTAGGACCTCTCATTCGAAGAATTATATAGTCTTAGTGATATGTAATGGTATTAGTGAGCTAGTTAGGGGGGAGATAGCAGGGACTTCTTATGCAGCTGATGGATGAGAGTGGATTGGTGATTACCCTAGGGAAAGCCTAGGATGAGATTATCATGAGAACATCAGTAGTAGTAGAAGGGACTTGGTGGAGTCAAGACAGTTCTTGAGGAAAGTACGGATAGATGTGGAAGGTAGTATGAGCCCGTACTACTGAAAGCAGAGGATCCGTACTCGAACCAGGGAAGGCTGAGATGAATCCAGGGAACTTGTAGTGTGTGTGATCCCTCTAGTTTTGATGAGTATTTTGATGTTTGTTATGGTGTATTTACAGAATGGTGACACTACGCACTAGATCAGTCGACACTTCGGGAGCCGGTGAGGGATCAAGCTTGGGTTCTAGAGTCGGGCAGCTTGACGAGCAGACAAGAGAGTTCATCTCATCTGATATCACGCACAACATTTTAGACCAGACTCCTGTGATCTTCGGTACGATCAAGGAGGGTATCTTGAAGCTTTTGGATGAGAGGTTGAATGCATTCTGCACTGAGGTGGCGGCCATGATGGGGTCGCGCACGCTGACGTTCAGGGAGTTCAGAGCTTGTGGAGCTCCCGACTATCATGGGGCTTGGGACCCCATTGCTAGCAGCAGATGGTTGGCTGATGTCGCCAACGCGTTCCGCACGAGCCGATGTCCCTAGGGGGACAAGGTCCGACTTGCGTCCTGTCTTCTGAATGACAGGGCACGTGACTGGTGGGAGGAGGTCGGACGAGCCATTGGGGATGATGCAGCCCTAGATGCTATGATTTGGAGTGACTTTTCGGCCAGATTCCGGGCCAAGTTTGCACCTGTGATTGAGGTGCAACAGCTTGCTAGGGAGTTCTAGGATCTCCAGCAGACGACTGAGACGGTGACGGAGATCACCGCCATGTTTATGGAGAGGGCCCTCCTCGTTCCGCAGTACGTAGAGGACGAGGAGATGAAGAATGCCTGATATCATGAGATGCTGCGGAGTGATATCTGCCAGTTTATGAGCAGATCCAGCTGCAAGACGCTGGAGGATATGATTGTTAGGGCTCGGGAGAGGGAGCTGGATTTGGAGATGGAGAAGAAGAGGAAAACAGGGGAGGGTCAGTCAGGGAGTGCGGGAAAGAAGCCCAAGGTATCAGATCGCCGATCGAGGAGCCTGCGGAACCACAGCCGCTACGGCAAGTTGCACGATAGGGCGTGCAGGGCGGGTAGTTCGGGCTGCTTTAAGTGCGGCCGAACTGGGCATGTGAGCATGGATTGTACTGCTGCTTCTACCAGGACTACCACCATAGTATCTGATCTGATTTGCTTTCAATGTAATCAGAGGGGCCACAAGAGGTCCCGGTGCCCGAGTCTAGCAGCAGCAGGGAAGGTGGCGTCACCCGCTCCTGCTACGTTGAGGATTACAGACGGCCGACAGGGCCGGACATAGGCGCCAATGGCAAAGAGCAGGGCCTTTCAGTTGACGATGGAGGAGGCACATGCAGCTCCCGATGTGGTGACAGGTATGTATCTTCTCCTTATCTCTTTATTTATGATGATTATTGCTGATGTTTATATGTTTTATAATAGGATCGTTCCTTGTGAACGACATATCTGCCTTGGTATTGTTTGATTCGGGAGCTACCCGATCTTTTGTGTCGCTTTCGCTCAACCAGCGATTCGTAGGAGCTCAAGGGGAGCTGGATTGTCCACTAGACGTAGAGATAGCAGACGATAGTACCGTTCGGGTTATAAGGGTTCATCAGGGATGTACACTGCAGTTGTTTGACGAGCAGTTTTCGGTGGACTTAGTTCCTATTCCACAATGAGGGAATAAGGTTATTGTGGGTATGGACTGGTTGAGTCCCAACGGAGCAGTGATCGACTGCGAGCAGCAACTAGTGAGGGTTCGGACTCCTAGTGGGGGAGGGTTAGTGATTCAGGGCGAGAGGTCGTAGGGTGGACCAACCCTATGTTCAGTAGCGAGGGCGAGGATCTACCTTCAGCAGGGTTGCACAGGTTACGTCGCCTATGTTATGGATACCCGGGATAAGGGTAAGGCGACCGTGGATGATGTAACGATCATGCGGGAGTACCCGGATGTATTCCCAGAGAATTTGCCTGGGATACCTCCGGAGAGGCAGGTTGAGTTCAGGATTGACCTGGTCCCTGGTGCGGCTCCGATAGCCAAGGCACCATATCGGTTGGCTCCTCCCAAGATGTAGGAGTTGTCTAAGCAGATGAAAGAGCTGCTAGACAAGGGATTCATCAGGCCGAGTAGTTCGCCATGGGGAGCCCCGATCTTGTTTGTGAAGAAGAAGGACGGGTCGCATCGGGTGTGCATAGACTACCGGGAGCTGAATAAGGTAACGGTGAAGAACTATTATCCCCTCCTGAGGATTGATGATTTGTTTGACCAGCTACAGGGTGTATCTTGGTTCTCCAAGATTGATCTGTAATTTGGTTATCACCAGATGCGAGTCAGAGACAAGGATGTG